TATGTATCAGAATGGTCAAACAAATGGCAACTTTAAATCTCAACAAATAAATGCTCTGTCCTACGTATTGGCAAAAAAAAAAAAAAAACAGAAAATAAAATACAGGCTGAATAGTCAAGATCTTGTTGATGATCCAAACTCTGTCAAGGATCTTGGAGTACTCATCTCTAATTAGCTAAGTGCTAGACCCCACTGTAACTTTATAGCCAAAAAGGCATTAAGATTTGTTAACCTAATCCTATGTAGCCTTTTCTCTGGTAATATTATACTAATAACTAGAGCATACAAAACATTTGCTAGACCAATACTCAAATACAGCTCATCAGTCTGGAACCCACATTACGTATCTGATATTAACACAGTTGAGAAAGTCCAGAAATATTTCACAAGAAGAGTTCTCCACTCCTCTACTCATTGCAGAATACCTTATGCCACCAGACTTGAAATTCTAGACCTAGAAAACCTAGAACTCTGCCACCTTCGGTCCAATCTAAGTATAGTATATAAAATCATACATTGCAATGTCCTACCTGTCAATGAATACTTCAGCTTCAACCATAACATCACTAGAGCAAACAATAGATACAAACTGAAGGTTAATTGCACCAAACTTGATTGCAAGAAATACGACTTCAGCAACAGAGTGGTCAGTGTCTGGAATACTCTACCTGACTCTGTGGTTTCTTCCCCAAACCCCAAAAACTTTAACCTTAGACTGTCTACTATTGACCTCACCCCTTTCCTAAGAAGCCTGTAGGGGGCGTGCATAAGTGCACCAACGTGCCTACCGTCCCTGTCTTATTGTTTCTTTTTTTTTCTTATATGTAATTGACAAATAAAAATAAAGAAATAAAATAAATAAACATCATCTACATTCTTATTGGCCTCTTACACAACTTCATTTATCTTCTTCTGTCTAATTCAGTCCCCTCTTTTCAATAGCATCACATCTATGGGACCATTTGAATCTGATGTTTCCAGATAGGCAGTTACCTTACAATTGGATTTTGGACTCCCTTACTATGAAGGTTAGTTTGGATGGAAGTGTGATAGCAATAGCACTTAGACATATACAGTTTCATAGTGCTTTATAGCCCTCTCTAAGTGGTTCACAGAGTCAGTCTATTGCCCCCAACAAACTGGGTCCTCATTTTACCAACCTTGGAAGGATGCAAGGCTTAGTTCAACCTTGATTCAGTCAGAATCGAACTCCTGGTAGTGGGCAGAGTTAGCCTGCGATACTGAATTTTAACCACTGAACCATTATGGCTTTAATCATTTCCCTGATATGTATTTCAAAGATTAAGAAAATTTGACATTCAGGGTAACTACATATTCTCTAATAAAAACATCAAATATTTGGACAGACAAACTTGTATATGATTCCATTCTTTGCTTAAACCAGAATTTTCTCTATTACAGTTGGAATATTTGGGAAAGACACATTTCTTTGTATGTCCTAATACTCATTTATCGAGTTTGTAGCCCACATTTCTTTCCAGGTGTCTGAAAGCTACACGAAGCAACAATATAAGATTCAGCAATATTACCTTTTATAGTGGAGAAACAGCTATTAGAAAATGAAAGGCAAAATTTTATTATTGTCATTCATGAAAATGGTGTCTGATTTATTATATTAAAAACAAAAATAAGATGATTCAATTTACAGTAACCATGGGTGCATCTTTGGCAGAACTAAAGAACCAGACCTTCCTGGATCATTAAGGTTCAATATTGACTTGATGGCACATGTTCACATATTGTGTGGCAATGGCAGCAGCACCCACAATAGAAGTCAAGATAGTGGCTTCCTTGTTGTATCATGTGATTGCAGCTACTATGTTGACCTTTAGGATCAAACCTGAAAACCCAGTGTCAGGCACAAGCAACCAGGAACAGGAATTGAGTTCTATGCATTTCAAATGTATTACATGTTACCTATACACAAGAATCTGATCAACTAATGGTCAAGATCAATTGCCATTAGATACGAATCAATGGAATTCATGGAGTGGACTAAGGTCTCTTGTGGGAGCATAGCGACTCCACCTGATGGTGCATTTGATCCTTCTGTTGGGCTCAGCCTGGTCATCTCCTACAACACAGATGAGCCACGATGGCACAGTGGTTAGAATGCAGTACTGCAGGCTACTTCTGCTGACTGTTGGCTGCCTGCAATTTGGCAAATCAAATCTCACCAGGCTCAAGGCTGACTCAGCCTTCCGTCCTTCAGTAAAATGAAGACCCAGATTGTTGAGGGGAAATATGCTGACTCTGTAAACCACTTAGAGAGGGCTGTAAAAGCACTGTGAAACTGTATATAAGTCTGAGTGCTATTGCTATCACAGGAATGAACATGATGGATCCTTAGAGATAACTTTTGTTATCATTTTTTGCAACTATAAATTCATGCAATAGCCATTTTCTTTGTCCTTTTGTTTGTACTGGAAACAAAACCACCAAAATCAACAGGGCATTTTCCAAATCAAAATTAACATAGAATCATAGATTCAGATGAGAAATAATGTTCAGCCCAAAAGGAAGTTCTCTGGAACAAGGCCAGATCACATACATTGGAGGTTTGTTTTTAGTATAGCATACCCAAGAATAAAGGGACACAGTGGTTTAGTGGCTAAGATGCTAAGCTTGTCATTCAGAAAGGTCAGCAGTTAGGCAGTTCAAATCCCTAGCACCATGGTATGGAGTGACCTCCCATTACTTGTCCCAGCTTTTGCCAACCTAGCAGTTCGAAAGCATATAAAAATACAAGGAGAAAAAAAGGGACCACTTTGGTGAGAAGGTAACAGTGTTCCATGCACCTTTGGTGTTTAGTCATGCCGGCCACATGACCATGCAGACATTTTTGGACAGCTCTGGTTCTTCAGCTTTCTAACGGAGATGAGTACCGCCTCCTACAGCCAGAAATGACTAGCACGTATGTGCAAGGGGAACCTTTATCTTTACCCAAAAATTAACCGTATCCCTGGGTTTCTTCCTAAAAATACATAGATGTATCCAGAATACATGAAACAGTAAGATCTACTTTATCACTATGACTTTTGATGTTTCACAACTTGGACAGATAACCACACTGCCCGAGTTAGGTGAAAATCAATCACAAAAGAGATAAGATGGATTGTGGATTTCAAGATGAAGACAACATTATCATTGATCAAGGTGGAAACTAAAATTCTAACTATGCATTTGGAGGATGGGAAAGGTAATCCTAATGGAAAGGCAAGAAAATGATTAACAGTCAATTCTGCAGTAAAAAAAGAATTGTTTTGAATTAATTCCCATTGGAAACAGAAGGATCATAACTCACGGCTAATCATCTCTTTGATTACTATGTATGCAAACTTTCAAACTTACCAATTGTTTGAAAGTAATTGTTCCCCAGTGGACTTTCTGGCAATCATAATTGCCTTTCTCTTAAATCAGTAATATTTAAATAACATGTCCTATCTCTAGGGACTAAAGGCAGACTGTTCTCTGAAGATGCCATATTTTTAAAAGATATGGAAACTGAGGTATCTAATGCTCCTACCTGAAGAAATGAAGTTATGTGAGTCCGCCTAATTCTTCACTTCACACTGAAAGTTCATATCAAGCAGGAATCCATCAAAACTTCACAATCAACCTCCAAAGCTCTTTGAATGGAAAAGAATGAAAACACCTATTCCTAATTAAGAAGGCAGCTGAAGATTTGGAATATCATATTAACTCATACCATATAAGCTTAAAATAAGCTCATTTTCAAAACTGCTGACTGCTTTTCTGGAATGTCAACACCTAGCAATTCAGTCTTCCATTTTGTAAAGAAGTTCTTTTGGATCTTTTCCTATATTCTCAATCTGGTTGAAGATTTCCTTGGTAGAACTCAAAATTGCAGTCTCTGAAAAGAAAGATCATCTGCTATCCTTAAATTGGCCAATGGAAACTCAATGGCATGGAATAAAGCTAAAACTCAGAAAGCAAATCGCCTAAATACATATCCACAGCTTCTGTCTGCTACTCTGTGACTGCATTAGCAATTTGTGTCAGTCCCAACAAAATATATTTTCACCAGTTGTAATCCATTTTACATCAGCCACCACAGCTCAGAGGGAAGTCAATAGCTTCTTCTCCAACATGTTCAGAACATTGGAAATGGTCCCTGAAATGCAAGTTATGCCCCTCAAAAGAATAATCCATTGAGTGGAGTTCAAAAGTCTCTTTAGTGCTATGTTATGATCTATTGTTAGGATTTGTAAGTGTTATGGTTGAATATTGTTCCTTCATATCACCTGCAGGCTGTAACAAGTTGAAAAGCAATGTTATAATAAGCCACAGGATCTCTGTGGTATACTAATCAGTCATTGGGAGGGAGAGACTTTTCAAACTTATATATATTCAGGATTGCTAGAGACAACTCACTAATTAAGTGACTCACTAAATCCTGTCAGAGCTGATGAAGCTTCTTGGATGAGAAGTGAAATGTCTTCAAAAGAAAAACCAAGAAAGTCCTGTTGCCTCCTGAAAAATCCCCTTTGGGCCACTAGATAATTGTTCCACCTAGAGATACTTTTCAAGGAGCTTCCCTTTATTAGTGAAATGGACTGCTCACTATTTGATAGATGAATATGAAATAAAGGGGGAAACGGTAGCTTTTTCTCCATCACATTGAATATTTATTAATTTAAAAGCTTTTAAATGTGTTTTCTACAGTGGTACCTTGACATGTGACAGAATGAGGATGATGTGATATTGTTTTCTACATCTGAAACAAAAGCACACAGCAAAGTAAGTAAACTCAAGTCCTACAAAACACACAGAAACTGTGAGACACATCTATCCGGTAGAAACAAACTTCAGGCAAAATGTTCCATTTGATTGGCTCATTGCTCAAAGACCTGGACGCATATAAGAATAAGTGACACATGGAGTGTTCCAACCTATCAGCCCCCAACGAATTTATCCTCTCCGGGTTTCCATATCCACAAGGGTTCAAACTGCCCTTGCTTCTCTTCTTCTCAATCATGTTTGCACTCACTCTTTCTGGAAATTCACTCATCATCTTAATAGTGATTTCGGACCTTCAACTGCACAAGCCGATGTATTGGTTTCTGTGTAATCTCTCCATCCTGGACATGACCTTATCAGCTGTGGTGGTTCCCAAAGTTATTGCAGGATTCAACGTCTTGGGAAGGGTCATATCCTTTTCAGGGTGTGTCACCCAGGTATTCTTTTTGAACATTGTTGGGTATGCAGAATGTTTCCTTTTCACCGTGATGGCTTATGACCGCTTCTTGGCCATATGTAAACCACTCCATTATGGCAACATTATGAGCTGGAAATTGTGTCTCATTTTCTCCCTTGCTACCATAATTGGTGGGTGCCTCCATGCTACCTTTCAGACATCTCTCACCTTTCATTTGTCTTATGGGGAGAATAACCATATTGACTATGTCTTCTGTGATGTTCCACCTGTCCTGAAGTTGGCTTGCAGTGACATACATTTCAAAGAACTGATTATCATCATTGACATGGGCTTTATAACGATGACCTGCTTTCTCCTCATCCTAACATCTTATGTTTACATCTTCACAGCCATTTTGAAGATCAGTAGCAGTGAAGGATGGCAGAAAGCTTTCTCTACTTGCTCTGCCCATCTTACTGTGGTGTGCCTATTCTTCCTGCCTGTGTTCTATCACTATTTGAGGCCAGTTTCTCAGGAATCCATGGATAGTGTGTTAAGCATGTTCTACACCACCATCACACCTTTGTTGAACCCACTAATATATTCCCTTAGGAACAAGGAGATAAAAACTGCTCTCCTGAAACTCTGGCGTTGGAATCCAGACTAGACAGCAGCAGGTAAATCCAAGACATTTTAGATTAAACAAACAAACAATGATGAACAGTCATAGTTTTTCATTATATTTTATCTATTGTATGTCTGCACTCAAATTTTCTACTGACCACTGTTAAAAAATAGATATAGAGGGTCAAATTGCATGGAAGGCAGAGGATGACTAAATATCTATGGAGATTCCCAGTCATCCAAGTCATGGTTATTCCAAAGATGCTTTTTTCAAAAGGCAACTAGACTTTCTGGGGGAAGGGGTTTGAAGACATTTCACTTCTCATCCAAGGAGCTTATTCCACTCTGACTGGATAGTGGAGAATGCTTGATGATCCAGTCATCCAGTCAGAGCTGAAGAAGCTTCTTGGATGAGAAGTCAAATGTCTTCAAAGAAAAATAAAAAAGTTGCCTATTGAAAAAAAAAGCATCTTTGAAAGAAAGCAGAGGAGCTGAATAGAAACATTTTATTAATTTTATTTATTTATTTTTGTCAATTGCTTATAAGATAATAGGTATAAGTAAAAACATAGTTATGAATACATGGATACATATAATAAAACATTGGTGCGCTTACTTAATAACTTTTTCTGAATGTATTGGCATCTGTTTGTCTCATGCTGTATGAATGTCTTTGATATAGCGCCTTCCCTAGTCAAATGGCAGATATAACGTAATTCTTTCTCTGGAAATTCTTTCTCTGCAAATACAAGAGGGCGTGCATTGTTTCAAATCACACAATCTGTTTTGTGTGTAATCACTTCTTTCTTAATTATGGGGTGAATGACTTGCTTTGAGGTACAAAGTAGTAGATGTCAGCCGTGGAAACCATATTTTACTTGGAAGTTTTGAGGCTGCCACATTTGGTGCCTGGAAATTTGAGAGGGGGGATTTCACAGAGAGGTGGAAGATTAGACTCAACAACATTCTTTCTTGGAAAGTCAAGGACATGTTACTCTAGAGTAACATGGAGTGGAGAGGAGTGTCTGGAGAAATGTCTTCAGTTGGGACAATGTTTTGTTTGGGCCATGTGATGGATTGCTGGGTGCAGGGGATGAATCTTTTATTTTCTCTTGGGGAGGGAAAACCCAGAACTCTCAGATTTAGGTTTTCCCCAGATGTGCCAATATGACAACTCAAATAAAATGGAACTTTGAGAAAATGATTGTCTCGGAGTTTATTGGTTTGGAGTTGGTTAGTTGGAATGCTGACAGTGGAATCACTAGTTGGTCCTCTTATGTTCATGTGGTTTCCAAGAAAAGATTGAACAGATGGTCAGGAAAGTATCTGAGATGTAAGCAATGCTGAAGGAAACCTGAAGTTTGCTGACCACTCATTCCCATGCGATGTTGCTAGCTGCTCTCCTAGAGAGGTCCTCATCCAACCAGAATTTCTTCATAGAACTTCATGATGTCCTTCTTCAGCCAGTTTCAATTAACTTTGCTGACATGGAAAAGAAGGAACTCCATCAAACCATCCTCCCCACACCATGTCTCTTTATGAGATGTGATATGTTTAAATCTTTCTGGACTGCTAGCTGGGATTTTTCTGTCTCCTGCAAGGTCTATTACTGAAGGGATGTCAATTAAGGCACTTAGGAAAAACAATCAGAGAGGGAAAAAATAATTATTTAACTAGTTTTTATTGGAGAGCTTGTACATGACTATGAGTTATAGAAGAAAAAAGTGTCTTTAAAAAAACAAGAAAAAAGCAACACATATATACATAACATCCTCCCTAGATGAATGTATTATACTAATTAGCATTCAACTAGGGAGGATATTATGTACATATATTTTTTAAAAGACACTTTTTCTTGTTAAGGCCTTTTTAAATACGTTTGCATTTTGTATTTTAAGCTTCTTTGAATAAAGTAATTTTTTTCAAATAAAAAAAATACTTAATAACTTTTTCTGAATGTATTGGCATCTGTTTGTCTCATGC